AACATACAAACTTCATCTCCCCGAATTTAAGATACTGATAAATTTAGACTACGTCAGAACCAAAATATTACACTCAATATTGTAATTGATGGTGAAAAAGTCAAATACTTTGAATTACATGAAATATACAGGCTGTGAAAAATATTAGGTGAAAACGTAGACGGTTTGGGTCGAGTCGGTCGAAACATAGCACGCTTCAATTGAACACATCGAACACCTTTTTGATTTTGTCGAGTCTGTCTAAAAATAACCAATCTGGGCCGAGCCGGTCAAAACACAGCACGTTTCAGTCAAACACATAATTTTGATTCAGTCCCGTAGACTAAAACATAGCCAGTACGGCTCAATTTGGTCGAAACAGGGTCGATTTTGTTCGAGTCAGTCGAAACATAACTCTAACTCCTCTACCTGAGGATCATGCAATTTTATCAAACAAATTGATTCAAACTAATTTTTTGTCTGCTTATTTTTCTCTGGCAAGCGTTACCGGTTAAAATTTTTCGAGTTTGTTATTTCGATTGTTTAACTAGCCAATTTCAAGGCAACTTTGACTTAGTCTCATCAATATTGATGCATTGAGCTCAAATTTCAAATCTCTCGCCTGTGATAAATTTTGTAAAACTTATAAGAGTTCCCAAATGGTTAATTCGTCCCACTTTGATAAAAACCCGAAATGTTTCGTTCCGAAAATGCCAAAAACGGCTACTAAATTTGGTTCAGAAAGAAACCCGAATTGAATTAGGGCATTTTATGTTGAATTGAATTGTTCCAAGCATTAGGTTAGTCGATGCAAACAAAACTGTTTGTATACCAGTGCGAGAGACTGAATGCTGCCACTGCATTTTGAGGCCAATTGATTTTTTTTTTTTTGGTTGAATAATTGACGAAATAATCAAAAAAAGGAGACGTTTTTTTTTCATTTTATCCCCCCACATGCTATGTAAGATACAAAAGGCGTGTTCAGCGTTTCTGATTGGTTTGGAGGGACTAAACTGCTGGCCTAAATTCAAATTGGAACGCAAATTTTTGGCAGTACGCTTGTTATACGAAAGCATTCGTTGCGCGTCAATTATCCCAAAATGACCAAACTTGCTATTTTAGCCCCATAATTGTACAAGAAATGATCATAAGCAAAACATATATTTTTTTTGAATTTGAGCTCAAGACAGCATTATCAGTCAGATGGAGTAAATAGTCTTGAAAAAATCTGAAAAAAATTGATTGAATAATATAACAACAACCCCAAGCATAATTATTCCGCACTTTCTTCGCAATTCGAAACAATTATCAATTGTTAACTTACTCTGGGTGAAACTTATAAAACAAATTATTTCAAATTATAACCATAAAAATGTACCAAAACTTTTATCCACTAATTATTCCACGCATTTTAAAGATTTGAGGGAATCTTCAGGGTTGGGCCCGGTTACTAGCAATTTTGTTCAATTCTGTAATTGAATGAAAAACATATTGCAGGCTGAAGAGCAGTCAGCTCAACACTGAGACGAGTTTTTCTGGTTTCTGAAGATCTTAGGGGAATACTCTACAGATCTTGTATTAGATCTAAAAAAAATTTTTATCATGGTTATTTTATATCTGACTTTTGTTCCGACTTTCGAGTCGGAAGTAACGGAATATTTGTGCTCGGGGTGGGTTTTTTTCTTCAGACAAATTTCGACTTCTTAACTAGCCATTTTTGACGGAATTTTTTAAATATCATTCGAAAGGTATCGTTGTCCTGAGCTCAAATTTGAAAAAAATATTTCACCTGTGATCATTTTTCGTAAAGTTACGGCGGTTTAAAGATTGCCATTTTGGCCAATTTGGGACAATTAACGCGCGATATATTTCGTGCTATTAACGCGTAAGCGGAGAGTTAACCCGTCTTAGAAATCGTTCCAAATTGTTTAAAAGAAGCTTATTTGCCGTAATTGATTTGTTACAAGGAGCGAAATCAATCGTTTTGTACTTTATATGGCGTGTGGGGGGATGATTTTCATAAAAATTTCAAATTTAAAAAAAATTTTTTTTTTCATTTCGTTTTATTTCATTTAATTTCTCAATGATATTACTGCTCCATAAACCTTAAAAGGCAGTCGGAACATTCAGGGCTTTGCCCTGATACGAGCAGTCTTGTTTAAAGTTTAGATCCAAAGTTGAGATGAAAATTAAAAAATGAGTAGAGTAGTAGAGTGTTCCCCTAAGACTAAGACCTTCTCAGAAATTTTTCAAGTTGAATTGAACTAAATATATCATTTTGTACTTAAATTAGCGTGCGGGGGAATATTTCAAAAAAATCACTTGGAAAAATTTTCCGTCGAATTTTTCCCCATTGACGTTAAAGGGCAGTCGGAATATTCAGGGAGTCGCCTTGATGCGAATAGTCTTGTTTTCTCTCAAATTTGTTACTCAGGTAAAAGTACCAAAACATCGTGTGTTGCATAACAGGACAACGCTATCTATTAATTGAATCAGATTAACTCATAACGATGTCAGTGCCACATTGACGGTCAACCGTAATTGTAAAATAGATGTTGTAAATTGGTAATTCAACCAAAAAGTTTCACTCTTGTTCATCAACGACGTGAATTTATATCGCACATAAAACATGCATATTTGCCAAGCCATCCATCAAAATATTTGAGACATCAGAATGCTCGTATCAGGGCGAAGCCCTGAATGTTCCGACTACTTTTTAAGGTTTATGGAGCAGTAATAACATTAAAAAATTCAATGAAATAAAACAAAAGAAATTTTTTTTTTCTAAAATGTGAAATTTTTTAAAGAGAATCATCCCCCCACACGCCATATAAAGTACAAAAGGATAGATTTCGCTGCTTGTAACAAACCAATTATGGTAAATATGCTTCTTTTAACCAATTTGGAACAATTTCTAAGACGGATTAACTCTCCGCTTGCGCGTTAATAGCGCGAAATATATCGCGCGTTAATTGTCCCAAATTGGCCAAAATGGCAATCTTTAACCCCCCGTAACTTTACGAAAAATGATCACAGGTGAAATATCTTTTCAAATTTGAGCTCAGGACAACAATACCTTTCGAATGATATAAAAAAATTTCCGTCAAAAATGGCTAGTTAAAAAGTCGAAATTTGTCTGAAGAAAAAAAAACCCACCCCGAGCACAAATATTCCGTTACTTCCGTATCGAAAGTCGGAACAACAAGACTGCTCGTATCAGGGCAAAGCCCTGAGAATGTTCCGACTGCCTTTAAGGTTTATGGAGCAGTAATAACATTGAGAAATTAAAAAAAAACAAAAAGAAAAAATGAAATTTTTTTAAAATTGAAAATGTTCTGAAAATCATCCCCCCACACGCCATATAAAGTACAAAAAGATTGATTTCGCTCCTTGTAACAAATCAATTACGGCAAATAAGCTTCTTTTAACCAATTTGGAACGATTTCTAAGACGGATTAACTCTTCGCTTACGCGTTAATAGCGCGAAATTTATCGCGCGTTAATTGTCCCAAATTGGCCAAAATGGAACGCTTTAAACCCCACATAACTTTACGAAAATATCTTTTCAAATTTTCAGGTGAAATATCTTTTCAAATTTGAGATCAGGACAACAATACCTTCCGTTAAGAAGTCGAAATTTGTCTGAAGAAAAAAAACCCACCCCGAGCACAAATATTCCGTTACTTTCATATCGAAAGTCGGAACAACAAGATCGCAAAATTGGTCATTTGCTACCATCGTCATTTAGTACCGTTTTTGTTAACAAATTTTGACATATTTAATATACATTTTTTTTATTAGTTCTACAATGAAACTAAAATAAGTAAAATCTAAATAAGTAAAATCGTAAACGACAAGAAAAACTAACCTCAAAACAAAAAAAATGGTACGTCAGCTTTTTTCCATTGTTTTCATGGATGACACAGAAATTTTGCTGTTTTTTAACTCATTATTTTTAAGTCGGAGCTTCGACTTCGATGAAAGAAAACGCTTCCCCTGAAAATCATTCTTTTGATTAACAAAGCTTCCCTGATGTATTAAACTGAGTTTGAGAAAGACACTGAAAAAAGAATTCCTAGATTACGTTAATCTTGTCTTGTTGACATAACCTGCGTTCAGAGCCTCAGGCAATTATGTTTTCCGCCTATCCACTGTTCCATTTTTTGTTTAATTTCCTCGTCCTTAAATTTAAAGAATGGATAAATACGAGCGAAAAATTGCAAATTTTCACTTGTTTCAAAGCAAATTAGGCAGAATAATCTAGTGCGACTGAATTGTGAAGACTGACTGCTTTTTGAAATAAAATTAGTTCCTCTCATTTGAAACTGGGTTCTTTCAGTTATTTTGCGCGCAAGCTCTGCCCTTGTTCGTTTATTCTTCAAATAAACATTTTTTACTTTGTCCTTTTTCATCATAATTTTGTTTATTATTGTTTCAAAAGAAACAGATTTGTTTTTTTTTGTTCTCTTGTCCTAATTTGAAGCCAATTTGACTGGAGTCAAGAAAATTGTGTTTTGAATAAGGAAATGGATATAAAGCCATCGTGGTATTATTGTCTCGTATGCAATTTTCCGCGTGATTTGATCTCAAGAGACGAATGACAATAAACATAATGATAACCATAAATTATGATACATGTATTGCCTTCGGGGATCCCTGCAGGGAATCGATGCGGGCGGAAGGCTTGATTCAATTCATATAATTGCCTCCGATACTCAAAAAATCAATACTACCTTTCATAATTGAGCACAAACCAGCCCCCTCCCATTGTTGCTCCCTCCCCCACCACCGTAGCATTGATAGTAACCCTGCCCTTTTATCAAATCCTAAGCTGATCAACTAACCCTCGAAATCTACCCTTTTGAAGCATACTCCTCCTTTTGTTCAAATTTCAACCCCGCGACTTTTGAGAGATTGAGAGGATTCTCTGCCGTTAGATTTGGTGTTATCTTTTCAGCAGAAGAGCTCAGATATACACCTTAAGAAAAGAGCAACCATCTCTTTTATCTAACTATCTTTTTATCACATCTCTATAAGTATCTTTTCTTCCTTTTAAAACCGCAGGCATTTTTCTTCTCGCTCGTTTTCTGTTGCACTTAACGTGAAAGTAGTATCCAATCCCCCCACCATTCTGCTGTTTCAATTTAACCGTCAGTAGACTTTATTTTGGAGTCAACAAGAATACAGTAGATGCAGTAGTCTATTCGGCTTCAAAAGAATGTAAGTATGGCTCGGTATTAATTTTATAATTGTCCCATTGAATTTTATTCGGGGTTGTAAAAAGTAAATGGGTTTGGAATTATGCAAATTAATTTGACCTTTTTTGCGCTCTCTGTTCGTAAGTTGAAAGCATAATCTTTGAATTCGATTTAGAAATAGTTTTATTTTTAACTCAGTTTTGTTTTTAATCAATGCAAAAGAGACAAGCAGAACTTCAAATTTTAAAGCAGATTTAGAAAATAGTTCTATCAATACTTGCAAGTTTTTTCTAATGTTTTGATCAAACAATTTTTTGCAGAGGTCTGAATTTTCTTAGGAGGCAAATATTTTTGTTCGACGCGAATTCCGGATGCGCTCAGTGCTTTTATGAGATCAAAATTGATTGATTTTCACTTTGCTTCCTCTATACAACTGAAACTGAAGTACAACATCAAGGGTTGCTAAGATTTTTCCTTTTCAGAGTAGAAAGAGAGAAATTTATTGAAAACAGTATGTAGATTTATTCAGCTTTCCATTTCTGTTGGCAACAAGATCATACTTGAATGTAGTGCTCGTTCTTTTTCTTTCTTTCATTTACCATTTAACAAACTATTTTACAAACTATTAAGCTCAAACTTTTATACCTCAGAAAAATTATTATGCAAGAAAAGTGAGTAAGCACAAAACATGTTGGTGCAAAAGGTAGTATTTTGAGTACGAAAAATTTCCGAAAAAGGAGGTATCCGTTCCCTTCCGAAGGCCTAATCTGGTAATGTGAAGTAAGCCAAAAGCTGAACTTTCCAAATTGAAAAGGAGGCGCTCGAAAAACATGAAACGACTTTTTGATTAAAACTTTTACAAAATTTCTGACTTGTTTTGCAAAACAGTTTATAGCCATTTCGATTTTCTCGAGCTGTGTTGTTAAGATCCATAAAAAATCATGTTTGGCAGTTTTTTTGGGGAAAAAGCCGTTTTGCGATGGTTTTCTCCAAAAAGTCGTAGTTTTTAACCGAGCGCTTGCGCCCTTGAAATCATTCAGGGGGCATTCGAAAATTTTTGGCTTCGCCAGCCAGAAATGGCTGACGGAAACTAGTACCAAGGGAATAGTTCCAAATAATCATAGAATCGAGGAGAGAGGGGGAGGTGACAAATTTCTCCTAGACAGCCCGCTGCTGAGTATACACAAACGACTAGACCAAGGGCCATTATAGCTAATTAGTTCGAGAGGGGAAGAGAGTGCAAGAAGTCATAAGTATTTTCACTCCAAGGCTTTCATCTCTAGGATATTATGGCGGCATTTTCAGTTGGAATAAATAATTGATCATTTTTCACATTTCAGAAGTTTCCCTCAAGGCTTTTATGCTATCTAAACTCACCAACTTCCAGTTATTTGCGCCAACATTTGCCAACTCGCCCGCAATTTTACTTATAGGAGGACGAATTTTAGCCCAATTTTATAATCATTCAAAGTGCGACAAATAATGATAAGCAGAAGGCGATGGCGATGGGTGATGATGAAAAGAAACTTAAATATTTATCTACCATATTCCTTAGGCACCGTTTCCAGAAAATTATAGGAAGAGAGTCAACCTAACCGTAAGTATGAGTTTTACTAGAAAACTAGAGCTTGTTTTGCACTGCATTACCTCTGTCTTTGAAAAAATAAACGTGAAACATTTTTTAAGCATCGCCTGTAAAATTAGCCTGGCTTGTTGTAATTGCTTTCTGATTAATAAGTTGTTTTTACTTCCGATATCAGCATCAATTAAAAGAAAACTGCTATAATACTACACCAGTTTATGGCCTCATATTTGGGGAAAGTATGTCTATTTTTCATTATTATATTCCCATTTTCGTCGGGTGTCCAAACAAAAAAGAAGCAATTGAACCCTTCTGCTGGGTTGTTGAATACCATTTTAAAAATATGCATTCACTTGAAAACTTTTGAGCAACTAGCAATGCGTGAATTATTAGCCACCGGGGTGACATTAGTACTTCAATTAGCAATCACCGTTCCCCCGAAATCAATGCTCCCTTCCCCCAAATGTCATTTCTCAGTCTCGAGAAGACCCCCACCAAACTGTGGCCGCCTCAGAATCAGTCCCTGAAGGGTAATTGTTGCACGGGCTTCTTAATGACTTAAAACCAGATTGGAAAAATCAACCGCGCCACCAGCAATGCCGATTATGATAGAATTATGCTGTGCTGTCTGTCTGCGTTCTAGCCGAATCGTTCGGGAGTCGAACAAATCCTAATTACGCACTGGTTTTTATAATAATGGTGTGTGAATCGTATAGGGTAAAATCTCTAAAACAATTTAAAAAACGGCTACTTTGACGGTTCGTTGATTTTTGTCTCATTTTTTTTGTAGTATAAATCAATTTTTTGTAGCGATTTGAAAAAAGCTTGCTTTCAAAATTATAATTCGGCTTGTAGACAGCACGGCTTGCGGGCATGGCAGATTTTTTGAACTTTTATTTCCAAATATTTTCAGCAGCTTTATCTGTGCCGAATTATTAACTGCCACATTTTTTTTCCTTTTTGAGTTCAACAATTACAAATTAAAATTGTGACCGACCCGTCGAAAATTAAATTGAGAACACATACTTTGGCTCACATGCTAAAAAAGAAATAAATTAATGCGGAACTTTGGATATGTACCCCATGAGTTTTTCCTAAAGTTTGGAGTAAAGTCATCTCTTTTTGGATCAGCCGGAACAATGCCCCCTAAGTGACCTACCGTAGAATCCCCCTAGCCAAGTATTTATTTTGAAAATTGATTTCGAATAAATTATTAATTTCAAAGCGCAAAATAGACTGCTTGAGAAAATGTTTCAAGAGGAATACCTATTTTATACTGTTAATTAACCAAATTATTTTTCATATGATTTTTTTCTCATTTTTTGAAGTATAAATCCTTTTTTGTAGCGATTTGAAAAAGCTTGCTTTCGAACTCTTAATTCCGCTTGAAGACAGCACGGCTTGCGGGCATGGCAGATTTTCGATTTTTTACTTCCATATGTCTTCAGCAGCTTTATCTGTGCCCGAATTATTAACTGCCACAGTTTCTTTTTTAGTTTTGAGGTCAACAATTACAAATTAAAAATGTTACCCGTCAAAATTTAAATTGAGAACACATACTTTGATTCAAATGCTAAAATAGCAATAAATTAATCCGGAACTTTGGATATGTACCCGATGAGTTTTTTCCTAAAGCTTGGAGTAAAGTCATCTGTTTTTGGATCAGCATGTACAATCTACCCTAAGTGACCTACCGCAGAATCCCGCCTAGCCACAAATTTATTTTGAAAAAAAAAATTGAATAAATTATTCATTCCAAAGCACATAAAAGACTGCTTGAAAAAAATTTTCAAAAGGAATAGCTATTTTATACTGTTAATTAACCAAATTTTTTCATAGTTATTTTTTCTCATTTTTTGAAGTATAAATCATTTGTTTTGTAGCGATTTGAAAAAGCTTGCTTTCAAAATCTTATTTCGGCTTGTAGACAGCACTGCTTGCGGGCATGGCAGATTTTTTGAACTGTTACTTCCAGATATTTTCAGCAGCTTTATCTGTGCCGAATTATTAACTGCCACAGTTTTTTTCCTTTTTGAGGTCAACAATTAAAAATTAAAATTGTGACCGGTCAAAGTTTAAATTGAGAACACATACTTTGGTTCGCATGCTAAAAAATCAATGAATTAATGCGGAAGTTTGGATATGTACCCGATGAGTTTTTCCTAAAGTTTGAAGTTAAGTCATCTGTTTTTGGACCAGCCCGTACAATCTACCCTAAGTGACCTACCGTAGAATCCCGCCTAGTCACGTATTTATTTTGAAATTTTTTTTGTATAAATTATTCATTTCAAAGCAAAGTAGACTGCTTGAGAAAACTTTTCAAACGAAATAGCTATTTTATACTGTTAATTAACCAAGTTTTTTTCATAGTTATTTTTGAACTACTTTTTTGATTAGATCAATTTAGCTGGTGCTTAAATGTGAATTATGAAAAACAGGTATTTTATCCCCTATAAATCAGTTAGGAGGTTGTATGGATGATTCCTCTTTTTTTATATAAGAGTACATTTTTATGTAAAATTTAAGAAAAAAATTTTTCTTCAAAGAGTCTCAGAATTGTTCTTTCGAAGTTTATCGCCACCTTTTTTTTTATTATATTTGGCCAATAAATACTTTGAATCTTGTTGTTCCGACCATTGAAAATGGGGAGAAACTTTGTATCCGGGTCGGTTTCAGTTTTCTCTTTTTGTTTTCCGCGCAAAATCAGGTATCATAAATAGTTATCGAACTGGGTTGAGTGATACATAAAATCAAAGCCCTTACAGTCGAGATACGGACCACATCAAAAATTTTACAAAATTTTTTCCCCGTATCGAAAAAAAAACCTGTTTGAAGATTTTATTTTTCGTCTCATTTTGAGCGAATAAAGTTAGCGAGCAGTCTTATCTTATTTGCTTAAAAGCTTACAAAATCTTAATTAAAAACAAAAAAACCTAATTTTTTTTGAGCATTGTTAATTTACTTTGCGTATCTTACCGCCTTTTTGGATTCAAAATTTTCAAAAATTCAAAAAACTGCAAAACTTGAAAAAAAAATTGAAAAAAAACTTTTTCTTCTACGGTCGGAACATTCTGCACTACTTGCACAGTAACTGGCTATCCTTGTTTTTCTGTCGGCGTAACGTTTAAATAAAACAGTCATTATTTTTTTTGAAATCCTGCAAACAGTATTTTATCAAGTATGCACTTGTGACTGTGCTTTGTTTCAAATACCTCATAGCCATTTTCGTTCTAAGAACACACAACGCATAAGCTTAGTAAGTAATACCAGTTAGTTAAGATATGTTTAGCACGCTAATCTGAGAATGTTATCAAATTGAACAAAAAAAAACTGCCTTTTCATAATCGACTTAATCAAAATCGAGCTTTTTATGGTTTAAAGTTCGTTTCGTTTCTCAACGTTTTTTTACGTTGCGCGCACAAAAAAAACTCTTCTTGAAT